CACCACGCCATATCGACTCGTCTATGGTAAGGGATGCCACCTTCCGGTGGAATTGGAGTACAAGGCATGGTGGGCTGTAAAGGAACTCAACATGGACCTTCACTTGGCCGGAGAAAAGAGGTTACTCAAGCTCAACGAGTTGGAAGAGTTGAGGTATGATGCTTATGAGAGCTCTAGACTCTACAAAGAACAAACCAAGAGGTGGCACGACAAAAGGATTCGAGATCGTGACTTCGAGGTGGGTAACAAGGTTCTTCTCTTCAACTCACGTCTCCGACTCTTTCCCGGGAAGCTCAAGTCCAAATGGGTGGGGCCGTTTACAATCACCAAAGTAACCCCCTATGGCTCGTTCGAATTGGAAAATCATGAAGATGGGAGCCGGTTCATGGTGAATGGGCAACGGATCAAAAGATACTATGATGAAGGAGATATTGGAAAGATCGGTTGCCTAATGCTTGGGACGGTCCACACCGTTCCTCCCCTTAGCTTTATTGCTCGTGACGTAACGTCAAGCTAGGGACGTTAAACTAGCATGCTTTGTAGTATATTGTGAATATTTGTCTTTGAACTATCTCTTTAGTTACTTTTTGTTTTAAGTACTTTGCAAAAATCCGGAGGATTTTTCCCCAAAGAGGGGATGGTTTATGTTGGTTATCGTTAGCCAAAATGCTATAAACCGAAGGGCACGACCTCTTGGCTCAACCAATCAATGGTTGAGTCGGGTACTTAGGTCGCATCCTATAGAAGTACTAACGATTTTGGTTTGAGTGATATTTGAGTGTTTGCAGGTTTGGGAAATAATGCTTTTAAAGCCAAAAATCCGACAGTCTAGAGCGGGCGCTCTAAACAGAGGGCGGGCGCTCTGCATCATTGGGAATTATTCAGAATACTTGAGGCCAAAATCCGAGAATTTAGAGCGGGCGCTCTGGGTGTAGAGCGGGCGCTCTGATTTTAAGGGGGCTAAGGAAGGAAAATTTCGAGAATTTAGAGCGGGCGCTCTGGGTGTAGAGCGGGCGCTTTGAAGGTCCCTCAGAAATTCTACATTTTTGGTGCTAAAATCCGAGAAGCTAGAGCGGGCGCTCTGGTCAGAGAGCGGGAGCTCTGAGTTTTGGGTGAAAAATTGACTAAGTGTGGGAAAATTGCGCAGCTTTAGAGCGGGCGCTCTGGTCATTCCCCCCAACCAACCCGATGGCCAATGTTTTACCAACCCTTAGTTGTGAAGCGTTTACCTAGATAGGTTTGTTGAGCTTATTGTTTACTAATCAAGAAATAAAGTTTGATAGTTGGTTTGAGCAGGTGTGAAAGTGAGCCTAATTGTAAATATGTAATGTGAAAGTCATTTTTGCCATCAATAAAAAAAAAAAAAAAGAAGAAGAAAAAAGCCGTCCGAATTGTGAAAAAGGCAAGGACACATAAATTAAGTTTTGAAGTTTGAAAGAGGTCATTTGAGTGTGTATTATATGGATAATTTGGGATGTGTAAGAATGTGAATCAATGAGATTGTGGAAAGTGAATTACATCTTTTGAACTATTGTTTTTGAGAATTGTGATTCTTGCGCTTCATTTAGGAATTAACCCCACTTTTTTAAATTGTTTTCACCTACCTTACCCATTGCCAATACATTACAACCCTTTTAAGACCCTTAGACTTTAGAGGTGTTCGGTTCTCAAACGGTGGAGGGAGATACCTTTCAACCCTATGGAAAGATTATGCGTAATCGAGATGTCGGGATACCTTTGTTATTTCCTCAAAACATCACTTCTTCCGGTTCCTTCGAGGAATCACGAGGGGCCAATTAGGGTGGTGATTTGAAGCAAAAGGGGAGGACGTGGCCGGTTTGGTCGGGTTTAGAGGGAAGCATGATTTCTTTGTTCTCTATGCTTGGTTTAGGTCTTGTTCGCATTTGATCAACGATATCTTGGATTGTGTGTCTCGTTGCTTGTTTGAGTGAGTTTTCCTTCCGTGCATGGTTGTTCTAAGTAGGATCCATTGATTTCATTCCGTGCTTAATTTGATTTGTTCGCAATGGCATAGTTTATTTGATCTTGTGTGTGTTTCCCTTGGTTTTTGCTCGAGGACTAGCAAAAGTGTAGCTTGGGGGGTTTTGACAAGCGCACTTTAGGGCGCGCTTTAGAGCATATTTTAGGATGATTTTGGATGTATTTGGGGCCGCTTTGGCCGATTATTACCTTGTTATGCTTACGTTCCCCATATTACGTGCTTCACGGGTTTTCGGTTTGTTTTTGATGTGTTTTCAGGTAATATCAACCGAGTTTAATCGGATCCCGAGCCCTTGATGCGTAACCGAGCTAGCCTTGACCGGAGTCCGAGGAGTTAAGGAAGTTCAAGTGTCGTGCATTGATTACAGAGCACAGGCAGCACGACCGTGTTACCATAGGCACACCCGTGCTGGCCTATAAGCAAGCAACCCCAGGCAAGGCAGCACGGCCGTGCAAGCCAATAGCACGGCCGTGTCAGTATCCACGCACCCGCACGGCCGTGCAGGCCATTAGCACGGTCGTGCCAGATGTTGCACGTGCCCGTGTCAGCTTCAGTATGAGCCCCGTGCTAGAGTATATTCAGCACGGCCATGCCATTTTTAGCACGGCCGTGCCAGGAAGCTGCACGGCCGTGCCATATATAGCACGGTCGTGCCAATTTGAAGAAGAAATTCGGTTTACTTACTGAAAAGCTAGCACGGCCGTGCCAAATACAGCACGGCCGTGCTGATCTAGGGTTAACTGCGCGCTTGACTTCTCCGCATTAGAAGACGTATATAAGGCCCAACTTTAAGAGGATTCCTCAGACAGTTTTAGAGATAGTTTTGAGAGCCTTTGTAGAGAGTTATTGGAGAACGTTCTTAGTATTAGAGATTCATTAGTTTTCTTAGAGATATTTCTAGAGATTTTAGTTTTCTTGGATTGATTTGAAGCAAGATTTGTGAAGATTCTTTGTATTATTCATTGACGACGGATATCAAAGTTCTGAACTTTTCCATTGATTCGCATCAATACAATTGGTATTATTCATTCTTGTTTATTAATCAAGCTTTATTATTCCTTAATCAGAATTCATGTTTATATCTATTATGCTTTTGGAATTCATTATTGCTTTGATTATGAATATGTGTGAGTAGTCTCCTAGCTAGGGTTTCGGGATGAAACTAGGCCTAGGTAATCTATGTAATTGAGGATTGATTTTGATAAACGGATTGTGATTAAATTGATTATATGCGATTGCATGTTAATTCATTATAATAGGAGTAGCTAACCTAGATTCTTGAATTTGATTGCATGATATCCTTGATTTGAACAAGAGATTGTGAATTGAGTATTTCATTATTGAATGTGGTTTGATTATGTATCGAGTAATGTTAAGTGCATGAGAAATCCAAGCTTAGTATTGCCCATTGTCTTCCTATCACATGATATTGATCAGACATATAGTCTTTGCATATCCCGTTTGTCTCTGTGATTCCTTGTTGCGTAGTTACCGATGGTTTGGTGAATTCCCGTTCTCCCTAGTGTCTTAGTTTATTGATTTATTCCATCTTATTAGTAGTATTTTAGAACACCATTTTTCCATTGATTTCGAACTAGCTTAGGTTTAAGATTGATATGCAATTACTCTCGTTCCTCGTGGACCGAAACTTTATTTGTCATTGTACTTGGTTATAGGGTGTTCGTATAAGTATTGTTTGATTGAGAGTTAGATTGTAGCGACCGATTTAACCCTTGTCAATCATCAGGGTAGAGAGTGTATTTCTTAGCAATGACAGATTACTTTTCAAAATGGATCGAAACAGAAGCATACAAGGAAATCAAAGATAAACATGTCATCTCTTTTATAAAAAGAAACATCCTAAGTAGATTTGAAGTGCCAGCAGAGATCATTACAGACAATGGATCTCAGTTCATCATCAACAAGACCACGAAGTTCTGTAAGGAGTGGAACATTTCCCTCATCATGTCTACACCAAGATATCCACAAGCAAACGGACATGCAGAGTCAAGTAACAAGGTCCTCATAGGCAACATAAAGAAAAGGTTAGAAGGAGCGAAAGGGAAATGGGCAGATGAATTGCCCAACATATATAGTATGGGCAGACAGAACAACTCCAAAAGGCGCTACAAGTCACACCCCATTCTCATTAGTGTACGGATGTGAAGGAGTAATCCCAACAGAAGTGGAAGTCCCCACAGCAAGGTACGGGTTGATGACAGAAGAAAGGAACCAAGCGGAACTAATTCACAACCTTGACACTGTGGAAGAACTAAGAGAGGACGCAAAAATTAGAATGGCAGCATATCAGCAAGAAGTAGCTAGATCCTTCAACAAGAACGTTAGGGCAAGAGTCTTCAAATTGGGAGATTGGGTTCTCAAAAAGGTGTACAAAAATACCAGAGAAGTAAACGCAGGGAAATTAGCACCCAACTGGGAAGGACCCTACGAAATCATCAAGGTAGTGGGCAATGGAGCTTACAGACTCAGAAACGCAGAAGGAAAAGAGGTACTGAGAAGCTGGAACGCAGCACACTTAAAGCTCTATCATTTCTGAAGAGCGTAGGTACGTAGTTATCATTTCAATTTCGTTTCTTTTTAAAAAAAACAGGAAAACAAGCAAAAACCCAAAAAAAAAGAAGAAAAACAAAAAACAAAAAATCTCCAATAGCCAAAATCAGCACAGAAGGTACTCCTCTTTACTTAAACTTTGTAAATTCAATATATTTTCACTACGAGTACTGACTTTGGCATCGGAGGGCCGTTGGGGAAACCCACGGCCACCCCTCACCCAATTCTGTTTTGCAAGGACAACAACTACACTGCTAGGTAAAAGCATAACAGGGCACTACAGAGAAATGCTTATTCATCCCTATAAGGAGCAAATCATCTATCCCTGCAGAATAAGCAAACACCAACAAATACATGTAAGCAATATTACATCCATACTACAACTGTAATACAACTGTAATACGCCTGTAATACAACAGCAATGGAGTAAGAAACATAAGCATAGCAAAAGAGGTAGAATTACTTAGTTGCAAAAGCAACAAAACAAACAAATCATCCAGCTGCAACAGTGCAGCACAAAAACAAAATAAAATATCCAACTGCACTAAGGCAGTAAAAACAAACATTCTTCAGAGTTAATACTATTTAAGGTGACACAGCACCATTGAAACTAATTTTCGCCCATGTTATCAGCAGGGACCACCTCCTCAACAATAGGCTTCAAATTCTCTAAGACATCCTTAACCTCATTGTTATGATGAGAGTTCACCTCTTCATCAGCGAAGCTCGGCAACAATGAGCCAGGAGCAGCAGTCCCTTCAGGAAATGCCTTCTCAAAGGCAGCCTTATCAACATCATAATCCCAGGCTTCATGCTTTCCTTGCTGATATTCCTCCATCATTTCAAGACGTGCCTTCCCAAATTAATATGTTGCAGCATCAACAGCCTCGTTCCCAGCCTCCTTCAAGGTGCTCTTCAGCCCATCACATTCAGCAATGCACTCCCTATGCTTAGCCCGTTCAGCCTTCAGAGCATCAGTAGCAGCCTTGTATTTGTCAGAAAGGGCATCACGCTCCTTCTTCATAGCATCATACACCCGAGTAAACTCTGACACTTTGCCCAACACACCTAGACAAAATTGAAAGCTCTACAAAATACACCATTAGGTAAGAAAAGTGTAATCCAGTAATATCATTGTTATTAAATCTTTTTTGGGAGTATACCATACCTGGAAAGACTGCACAGCAACCTCTTGAGAAAGGTCAACAAAATTCTGCGAAGACTGACGATCCTTGAAAGATGGAAAAAGCAAGGTATCCACATGTGGAGCCAGAGAATCAAAGGAGAAATCAGCAGCATCAACATTAATAGGCATCTCCAGCTTCCTCTTAAGGTTAGTACGAGGTTGAGGTGGAGGAGGACCGCTCTTTGGAATAACCATCTTGATGGGAGCACTCTCTGAAGTTTGAGGAGAAGAACGAGATTTAAGGCGACCTAAGAGAAAGGACGAGCTAAGAAGGTCATGAGACCTTAGTGACCTCGAAGTATCTACAAGGAACATGGCAGGTTCAAAAAGGAATACAACAAAGAACACGACAGCAAGAGGGATATAAGAGAAATGGGCAACAAACTGAACAGGGTACATAACTGACTCAGAAAGGACAAACAAATAAGAAACCAATTAAATCCATAACAAAAGCACAAGGTACGCAACAACAAAATACATCTACAAAGATTGACACAACAATAAACATCACAGCACAGTAGAGAGAAACAGACCTTGAGACATAGCTGGAGCAACTTTCTCCTCAGAATCAAAATCGTCCAGAGACTTGATCTGGATAACCGCTTCAGGCTGCGTCAACTTGATAAAAGACCTCTCGTCCGCACTCAACTCGTATAACTTGTCTATCAGAGATGGAGACTGAGAACGTTGCTTCAACTTACTCACTGCAACCATCAAGAAAATAAGCCCAAATCAACAAAGAAGGAAAGCAAAACACGGGAAAATAAGAAAATAGAATACCTTCAGCCTCAACAGTGTCAATCAAAAAATCACAATCATCACCCAACGAATCAATCCTCACAAAGAAAAACTTGTGATACCACTTCTTGTCAAACGCCTTCTCCAAGTTAGTCACCAAAGGATCAACACCATCCTTCAAACGAAGACCAACCCAACCCTTACCACTGGTCCTAATAGTATAAGGATAACATAAATCCCTCACATCAAGTTCTACACCCAATTTTGCACTCAGCAAATCCAAAATTCTCAAAACTCCAAGTTTGTGGCAATAACTGACAAGGCGAAACCCTAACCTTAGAGAGAAATTGGCGAACAAGGGAAGAAAAGAGGAAAATATTCCCAATCACAAAGGGGTACTCGAAGAAGCACACCCAACCAGGGGCAGTCCAGTCAGCCCTCTCCCTAGAAGATGGGATTTTCACCACCATCCCGTTAGAAAATCGCACAACAGCGGCGATGCTCTGAATCTCCTCCTTCGTTACAGTAGAAGGATAAACATCCTTAGCAGGGAAGACGTTTTGCGCGACCAAAGTCGGCTTCTTCACACCCTCATCCACTCCAGCAAACACTACTCTTACAGGATCATCCATCACAAAAACGCAAGAGAAAGCAATGAAGTGAAGAAACAGAGAAAAACAGAGAAGAGAGAGAAAATACCTGATGAAATTTGAAATTGGGGCAAAGAGTAAAGTGATTAGACATGAGCCTGCACACCCAATAAACATTAAAGAGAGAAAAAAACCGCCCTTCACGATTGCCGAGGAAATTGCCTTAAAACTGCCACCACGTTCCTTATATTTGTTAACCGATGAAATAATTTCTAAAATTCGAAAATCCTTCAAACGGCTTCTTTAGGTAATTTTCACCTTCAATACTTGAAAATAAAAATTAGGGGTAATTGTTGGGCCCGTATTAATATACGACCCAGTATGCTTAGGGCACCAATCCAAGATCAAAGAATTCAGCAAAATAGACCAAACGGCTTGATTGGAATAAACAAGGAAAGCAGGATCAAGAGTATCTATCAAGAAGATACTTTCCAAGAATACACCTAAAGAACAGGGAACATAATAAATCAAGAAGATCCTCTACATTTCGAATATATTCTGAATATCTATGTAACCCTAGGGATCCCTAGGTATAAATAGGAAGAGTTAGACATTATAACACTCATGTACGCTCGCACATAATTCAATATAAGCAATTTGCTCTACTTTTGTCTACGAATTTGTGTCCCTACTGAACAAGGAGGCTTGTCCTTACTCAGTATTGTATCTCTAACCTTATCTCTTTGATCTTATTGAATACTTACAGTTTGCTTACTAGTTATTTATTGTTTTACTATCGTTCTTAATCGCTTTATATGTTATTGGTGGAATGATTGTTATTACCCCTCAAAACCTAGCAAATTCTTAGATATCCTAGCAGAGATTTGCCTAAACAAGTAATAGAATGTTTGTTAGCTACGAACAGTGAAACAGCATAATACAAAGCAATATATTTAAGCATTTTGGCTTCCTGCTCACTGTGCTCGGTTTAAAGTTCAACCAATCCAATAAGCAGGAAGGGCCATTAACACTATAGCATGCAGCTTATATATCTTTAGTTGACCATATATCAATCATAACATTAAAAAATACACACAAAAAACAGTATCCAGCCAACTATAGCTTATTAATTATACAATAACATGGAGATTATCAACATACGATAAAATTTAGGCTATACAAGCTTGCATACCTATCGTTGGCAGCATTGCTTTACTAAAACCCCGGTATCAAAATGTCCGATCCTATCTTTAGAAACCCGCTTCAAACCGGACCAGATTTTCCAAATTTGCCAAATAAATCATCAACACGATCAGATGACAGAAAATCATCAGTTTCAACCACAAAATAAAAGACATTAGAGCTCCCATTCTCATTCCCAGAAGGCTTCAAATTCGAGCTGAGTTCAAATTCAATGAAACTTTGAGCATAGATCTGACATAAAAACCAAATCCTCCAACCCCACCTCCATTAGAAGAATCAGAATTGGTTGTAGGTATCTGAAAAACATCATAAAAAATCAAAATTCTAAACTCAACGAAATCAAAACCTTAACCCAAATCATATAAAAGCAACAAAGAACAGAGAGAGAGAGTGAGAAACCTGGTGAGGAGCAGCATCGCCAATAGAGACCTCGCCATCAGCATCATTCTCCTTGGTTTATTTAGGGTTTACTTTAATATCTTCATCAGCAAGGCCGCAGTTTTGATAAAGTCGCCACTGCCACTACACAAGCAGCAATAATGGAGAGGGCTATGGTGGTAATTGAGAATGAGAATGAGAGTGAGAGTTGAGTGTCGAGTGAGGTGAGAGAGGAGGAAGTAGATCTAAATTCTGGGGAACTGATAGTTCTAATATATGGGCCTTTTTGCTTTTTTCTACTAGTGCTGCTTATTACAGCAGCAAAGCCTGTCTGGAAAGCGACAGAGCAGTTGATGAGTTTTTTGTTAGTCAATTGATCCCAAGAGCAGAAAAACACAGACTACGACTGTGGCAAGCTCAAGCATACCTGAACTTGATGCACTTTTACAATTCTTTAAGCAAGAAGCCAAACAAATAATATACAGTTCTACTTGCTGAATCATTTGGTTGATTAGTTCAAAAATCACTAAACCAGTTTGCATCCAAATAGCAGGAAATAAGTTGAATAAACATGTAAATTTTGAACAAGCATACATACTTGGCACAGACCAGGTTCTTGTTTAGGAGTTAAGCCTAAATCAAGGAGCATCATTGGCACTCAAACTCTGAGTAAATACCACAGGTAACATTGTGCCAAAAGAAATCATATCACAAAAACTCAGTAGCTAATCCTTGTTCCGAATAGAGGTGGTGATAACCTATTTTATTAGACTCCTCATTTTATCTCTATTGTCCATGTGACATCCTTGACACACCGACTAGGTATAGATACTTGAGCTTTAAATAAGAAGAAAAAAAATAAATTATACATTACCAAGCCTGACACTTGGATAGATTCTAATGATTAAATCTTCAAACCTGAATATGCAAGCTGATATAAAATCAGACAGCCAGAACAATAAACACTTTTTACATCATTTTAGTTGCATAATATCACTACGTAATGCCATAGAGGATACTGCAGAGTAATCATTCACTGCAGCAAAGACAAGACTGCAGGAGGATGTACATGTAGAACACTGTCCTTTCAACATAATTTGGAAAATTGTTAAAATCAGCTCTGCATTGCTTAATCAAATTCATACTTCATAGGTACACCAATTGCAGGCCAAAGGAAATATCAAATGGACCAACATGGATTTATTGTACATTTGTACACACCACAACCCATTTGACATTATTGTATCATTTACACAACTATTATGAACAGTCAAAATGACTATCATTTACACAACTATTATCAACAGTCAAAATGACTATCATTTACACAACTATTATCAAAAGTCAAAATTTCACAATGTAGCATGTAGTGAAAAGGCTGGACTAAGCAATACATGCATCATGCCAAAAGTTTTCCTTAACACTATAGCTGACAAAGAGTACTCAATCAATCAGAGTACATTTTTGAAGAAGTCATTCTAGTAACTGTACATTCTTCTAATCAACTATTTTTTTCCAGTCAACTGACAAAAACCCATAACAAAATCAACTATATGAGCAGCTTCATCGTGTTCAACATGTCAAATGATATAGCATCCAAAAAATGCTATGCCACTGGAACCTTCCCACTTGATAAAGAATAACACTTATAAGGCTATTCCGTTATAACCTTCCCACCATTTCGTTTCAACTTCCTTTTCAGAACCTTTTCAAGTTCATCGCTTGATAAAGACAACACTTGGTTCAGTATCAACTTCACCCCATACCGCCTGACAAGAGCAAACCTTGGCTTAATCCTCTCTTCCAAACTGTAGCCAAAGAATTGGGGAAACTTGACAAGATCTGATTGTGGATAACCCATGGTTAAAAAGAAATTCCATTTTGGTATCATGTTTTCTACCAAACTAAAAGTATACAAGGCCCCATACCTTTGGATCATGGTCCTAAGATCCTCCAAACTATAGCCCTTCTCCAAGAAAAATGCTGTAATAGGCTTGAGATTTCTTTCGATGCTTAGTCCAAAAGTCTGCGGTGATCGTTGCAGAACAACAGCCGCATCAATACCCAGTAAAGAAAAATACTCTGCTGTTGGCCGCAAGTTTTCCTCAACACTATAGCTTATTATGTTGGGACAACGGGTCAGAATCTTGCCAACATCCTGTGCTGTGAGACCCATTTCATACAGAAAATCAACTGTTGACATTAACTTTTGCCTGCTATATGTAAGAAGGGGGGGAAATCGGTATATTACTTTTGCCCATTTTTCCTTGTCCAAACCCAAGCCCTCCAAAAACTTCATGGTGGGTATTAGATTTTCAGAAAGACTGATTCCACATAATTGTGGTCTCTTACGAAGAATTATGGGTAATTCGGTTTTGGGAATTCCAAGTTCAAGAAGAAACTCAACCACAGGTCTGACTTTTCCATCCAAACTGTAGTAAGCAAAAGCTGGGAACTTTCGAGTAATCTGCTGGATATCCTCAAGATCCATTCCAAGTTCAATGAGATAAATAACATGCTGAGGAAGCTTATCTATAGGGACAGACCCACTAACCCGTGAAATGGCCTTGAGCTTCCGGGATTCTGAAGTCTCATCAGGCAGCTTTTTAGATTCCAAAATTACACTTGGGGAGACAACTTCTGCTGTCACATTTTCGTTAACAGGCACATTTGGAAAGTTCTCCACGACATCAACCAGATTGCTTCCATGCTCTATTTGCAGGTTTTCCAGGTAAGGAATAAGAGCATCTCTGATTTCTAGGGTTGTCAGCTCCCTACCTGCAAATTAAATATTTCCAATCAAGCATCTCCCTCTTCGAGTCATTCATATGTAATAATATATTGATATAAATGTGATAGTTCTACTGAAGTCAAACCTACGAGATACCGAGATTTGTGAATGGAGTGAAGCTGGGATACGAGGTGGTCAATGAAAAGATCTGACTTGTTTATGGCTCTTGATGCAGCAGTTTTGTTCAACCCCTGTTTTTTCAGAAATAACATCAAAACAGCCTTGGCTTCTTCCTTCTCTGCAGCTAATAAAGTAAGAGACACTCCTCTTAAACTCACAGCACTATCTGTACGCAGCGCACCTACTTCTGGGTCAACATCACATTATTACCATTAGAACTATAATGGACTACGTTGATGTAATAAACTTGTAAGATAACAATAATACTTTCATCACACTTTGCTTGACAACAGACTAGCTTAACTAAACAAGAGTTTGGTATACTAACACCCATAAATGGACTTTGCAAGCACAAATCATTACGAACCCACTAGTGAAGTATTATTTGGTAAGGCAATGGGACCATGGACATATCTCCTAATGGCAGCACATCAAGCTTCAGGAAATCCGGCTTACTTGAGGTATTAGTTTAGTAAGGTCTAAAACTTCAAGCACATTGGTAGTTTAATTAGGGTGTTACCATCTTACAGAATGCTTTCAGTTTTGCATATTTGAATCTTTAGGAAAGCTAGCCACGTTTGTAGGTTTGGTATTGGTTCTGGAGAATGTCACAGCTAAATTGAACACTGGAACCTTTGCCAACCTGCACCAGCAATCACCTTTGAATCCTCTTATTTGATGGTGAACTAAGATTTCAAAATCCCTCCCAGGCTCCTAATATTGGCATCAATACCAAAGGTAGCCATAATAATTTTAAAATTAGGCAGACAAATCCAGCCCAACATGACTTATTTTCCGACTCACTCCTAGTCTTAGTAAATTACTTGTCAATTTCCCAACATGTTCAAATCCAATATGACATGTCCAAGACACTAAGTATCCACAACAATACCCATTTCCGAGAGTCATTGTAAACTATACAGTTGATGATGTTTAGGTAATAAGTTCGTATTGGCAAACAATTTAACTATATTTTACTCAATGTAAAATTCAATAAATGAGACCAAACACAATACCTAATTTGTTCTAACATCAATTAGACAATTAAGCCAGAACCAGCTTAAGAAAGAATGACTACCTTGAGCAAGAGGAGAAGCAGTGTGCAGACGTCGAAAAGGCCAGACCCATCCCCGAGCCAGGGCAGGAGGGGCAGCCAGCCTGAGCCCAGCGAGAACAGGCCTAATTTCATAGTTCAATCCTAACATCAAAGGATTCTGCAATACATTAGCAACCAAATTTTATTCAATTATCAAATAATTAGGGATATTTGATTCAATCATAAAAAAATTAGGGATATTTGATTCAATTATCAAATAATAAGGGATATTTGATTCAATTACCAATCATAATTTTCTTTTCTAACCACATAATCGCTGTTTAAGATCTTTCATAATCTTAGTAATTAGAATCAATAGTTCAGATTTTCGATCCCTAAACTTACTACACTGACAATTAAATTAAACCCTAGAATGCGAAATTGATATGATGATAACAAAAATAAACAATAATGTACCTCAGAAGCTGCTTCAATGTGTAAGGTATAATAAGGCGCCTCAATGGAGAACGCAGGTGCGCTTCAGAAGAGAACTGAGAGGGAAAATTTTCTTATTGAGTCATTCACAATTAGAGCAATTCAATGGATGGGATGAAAATTGTATAGTGCACCAGGTATACCTAGTATTAAATTATGCGATTTTAACATTTCATTTGCAAGCTTTCATTTTGTTATTTAAAAAAAAAAAAAAAAAAAAAAATTTCTTCCACAATTCATGGGATTCAACGTGATATTGACCATTTTTACATAACTTTCAAAATTAAATTTCACCATATTTCAATTTCGAATTAAGAGAGAATAAAGTTTATAAATAATTTTGTAGAGAGAAAAAATACAGAGCAAATTATAATAACATTGTAATCGATGGATCGGAGAAGGTAATTTGATTTTATTTGTTATGATTTTAATTTCAGGATTTTGCTTATTAGGTTGATTATATTTCGTTATTATTTTGCACGATTATGGTAAAATATAATTTTTTTTTTCCAATTTTGATATTTATGAATTTGAGATCCATATGACAAAGGTTGAAGATGATGTTCTTTTATTTTGTCAAATGTTGAAGATGATATTCTTTATATTTATGTTCTTTAAAATTGTACTTATGTTCATCATTATAATTATTGAACAATTATATGAATGTTCTTTATTTTTATCCTTTATGTTCTTTGTTTCGATGTTATTTGATTTATTTTGTATTTTTAAATAATATATCATTTATTAATTCTATATTTTTTAAATATTAATAATCACTAACTACGTATATATTTTTTAAAAATCAAGATCGTGAAGGTTAATGACGATATTCTTTTGATATCTCCTCTATTGATGATTGTTTTTCAGATCTAAAGAACATTTGTAACATTATTAAAGAATATGATAATATTATGTAATGAACATAACTTATATATATACCTACCACGTTCCAAAGACAAATTCAAAGAACATTTCACAATAAGCAATGAACATTATGTGACGATAAAAGTACATTGCAATTACAATAAAAAAACATGGACAATTAAAATAAACAATCAAAAAATCTAATAAAAATCATTATATGATATACTTATGGACTTAAGGAAAAAGATATAGTTTTAAAAAGTAATTTTACATTACAAACAACTATAAAGTACATCATGTTTTCCAATAGAGAACATTACTAAATCACATATAGAACATCACAAAAAATTTATATATACCATCCCTAAAATGAATATTGTAACTATATATATTAAAGGTGAAAAATATGAACGAAATAAAAAAAAATTGAAAACTAAAATCTTGAAAACGAAATTTTATAAATTTAAATTTTGAAATATAAAAACGAAATCTTAAGTTATTTTTAGGTGAAATAATTTTAGAGAATACGGAGTAAAAATTATTTTTTTTATAAAGAACACTATACAACCATATAAAGAGTCTCATAAAAAGTACACAGAACAATTATTAAAATAAATATTATAATTAAATTTTTTTAAAAAAATTGGGGAAAAAAATATGATTTTTTTATTTATTTTTTATTTTTTTTAAAGAAAGGGAACTAAATATAGTATTTTGGATAATAACATTTTGAAAATGAAATTAAAATTTTAAAATTTAAAATTTAAAACTCAAAATTCAGGTGTACCATGTGCATGGTACACCTGGGTGTAGGAACCACGCATTGGAGAAAGGGGATAAAGAATTAAATTAGAATTTGCGGGAAAGTGCCTAAGCTTTATTTTCTCTTAAAATAAAATTATTTGCTTGAGGTTTACTAGTAGACTTTTAAGACTTTTGAGGGTCTGTTCACATTTATTTAATTTCAATTTAGTTCATTTCATTTCAATTCAGGTTTAATCAGTTCAGTTTAGCTCCTAATTTCCCTCTCTCATAAAATATCTATTTCACCTCAGTTCATTTTAGCTCCAATCAATTCAGTTCAATTCCGTTCATCTCACTTCAGTAAATGTGAACAGGCCCTGAGTTAGATTCTACCACTTGGCTTTTAAATTTGTTGGTGGAAGAGGTATTTTAGGCCATATGGCTAGCATGTCAATTTTTAAACCAAAACCATTTAGCTACTCGAAATCAACCGATCCAAATGAGAAACGCATCGATTAGAAATCGATTTTTTTGAAACCGAAAACCAACTTATTTTGGGTGTTTTTGTCCCTCGGGAGAGTTACGTCACAAAGATTGGTTCGGCTGAGTTGTACCTGCAAAAGTAACGGAGACTCCGAGTTGTTGGAGCTCCGCCTCTGAAGATCAAGTTAGTAACTTGAAAAGAGATAAATGGACAGAAAATTAAAAGGGATCTTCTCGGATTTCGAGATCAGTTTTTCTCTAATGAGAGAGAAAGTAAGTGCAATAAATGATTGAAATGTGTCCCCAATTTGGGGGAATATCTCCCTATTTATAGGGTCGTTAAGAAATGTGCCCCTCCCTAGGCCACCCTGACCTAGATTTTATGGGCTGCGCCGCAAAGTGCGAATTCCTCGGGAATTGGGCCCTTAAAGGGCGCAATTCTGATTATTCTCTAAGGTGGCCACGTGTCAGCTGGTGAGTGGCCTATGGTGGCCTGCCAGAGCTTGACACATGGGCCTCTCTCATTGGTCCACGCATCTAGGGTATTTTTACCCTAAACTTTTGCCCCTCACAGGGGTGACGTGGCGGGCCACGTGCACCTGTGACAAGCGTCCCCCTATGAGTGGTGAACAGTAATTACGGTTATTCACCTTCAGGGGTGTAACGGGGATACCTCCGTTTCACCCCTCTATAAATAGAGGTTTACCCCCTCCCTCCTCTCACTTTTTCAATCATTTTGACTTTTTAGAGAGAGAAAGAGAGATTCATAGAGAGAGATATCTGATTCCGTCTGCGTCAGATTTTTTAACAACACCCGGTCACCGTCTGTTGCAGTTTTAAGAAAATTCAGAATCAAAGTAAGGTAACCGCCTGTAACCTCTTCCAACTTTTACTTCTTTTCATCTGTATACATTCTTGTTCCGTCTATATACATAGTCTTTAAAAATAAAAATGAATTCTCAATCCACACACTCGGCACTGCCTAGGACATTCAGCCGGTCTCCTGGTATGGCTGAATCTAGAATAGGGGGTGCCTTTTCTGGACTGTCGAAACTGTTGTGCTCATCCCCGAATTCCTCCCTCTCTGTGTCTGTGCAGGACACAATGGCTAGAGTTAAACAAACGGCTATTAAGCTAAGAAGCCGACGCGCTACGGAAGTGCCCGCGGATGAGATTGTTCCGGATGGGGAACAAGAGGAATCGGAGAAGAGGAGTGGTTCCGATGATGAGGCTCCCTCATCCTCAGATAGTTCAAGCGTGAGGGAGGTAGGCGATGAAGAGGTCGCCTCCTCTCATGGATCAGGGGAGGAGGCAGGCGGCAATGATGCCGCTGAAAGATCAGGGGCCGAAGAATTTGGCTCCGATCAAGACGATTTTGCGGCTGACTACCAGCAACCGGCTAAGACCTCTGCTAACCCTGACCCGAAGAAGATAAGGATTCTTCCGGGTGATATAGCCTTGTTGAAGAGAGGCTTCAAGGCCTTCAAGGGAAAAAACCCCTTTGGAAAGGGGTGGGATATTATTGTTCTGCTTGGGGATGCTATCATGGCCTGGGAGAATGACATTGAAAATGCAGACAACTACTTTATTTGCTTCGAGGCGTTAATAGAAGCCGGCCTCGGGTTCCCCCTCCATACTAAAATAAGGAAAATCCTCAAGGGATACAATCAGGGCGTCTGGCATCACACTCCAAACTTGTGGGTGAATATATTGAGTTATATTGCCGCCTGCGAGCTCTAGAATATAGACCCTAGCTTTTCTGCCTTTGCTTATATGCATTATCTAAGCAATGCCCCAGGCGGTCATGGGGCGTGGTGTACTCTCACCACCTTGCCCTAATACCAAATGACTTTGGACAAGGTGTCCAAATGGTCCGAGTGGAAGGAGAAATTTGATTTGATCTCCTCCCCTACACTGAGACACAACCAGACTCTGCGCCGGTATAATAAAGAATCGGTTCTCCTGGGCAGAAAATATGCTCTTCTTGCACTCTCTTCTAGAGCCCGAGAGCAAATAATGGACCCGGGTTTTTTCGAAACCACAACTGAGCCCTTGAGGGATGGGACTCAGATTATCGTGCCAAAGAACTGGATCCCCCATCCGAACTTTTTCAAGGATGAAAGAATCATGTCCGCCTGCGGGTTAAGCACCATGTTTCCCAAGGGTAGATCCACTTTCCATCCGGTAATCTTGCCGTCTTTGTTTTTATACTTCCAACCTTTTATTGTTTTGACTAACTTCCCGTTTTCCCCTCACAGCCGATGCCTTGAGAATGGTAGACCCGAAGAAAACCCCGACCAAATCAGCTACGCAACTGCGTAAGGAGAGCCTGCTTTTCAAAAGAGCAGCTAGTGAAGCTAAAGAGGCTAAGAAAGGCGGGGTATGACCGCTTGACCTGTCTTGTTTTCTTTCAATTTCTTCCAAGTGTTTTTGCCGGCTGGTAACTTTTTTATCTTCCCTTTGCAGGGTGCCATCAAAAGCGTTCCTCGCTCCATCTCCAAACTTATCAAAAGACAGGGAGATGAGCTAAATAAATCTTCGGCTGCCAAGGCCACGAAGAAGAAACCATCTCAGTCAACTTCCTCTTCCAATCCGGATCGTCCTACGACCGGCGGTAATTCACCCTCTGTTATGAAGGCGCTGAGTGAAAGCTCAGAGCGTTCGAGGAAAAAAGCGTCGGATGCCTCTACGGCATCGAAGGGTGGCCAGCCACCCAATGTTACAGCCGGTGCGGCAACGACTGGGGAGGAGGATGCCCCAAAACCCCAGCCTCAAACCCAAGTTAAGAATAGGATTGAACTTCCTTGGCCACTTGACTTTATGCGAGTCAAGACTAAGGTCGACCCTTCGGGAGGTTCAGTCAGCAGCCATCAACGAATGAGTGTCAACTACGTTGCATCCCTCTCACCAAGTACTTCTTATGGTGCAGATCTTACATCCGACGAGCCGGATCTTCCCGGGTTTGTAAACCGAATGGTAAGGGCCCTCACCCAGTCTAAGAAGAACTCCGTACCTGATCTGCAGGTAGTGGATTTTGATCGGATAAAGGGTCAGCTGGCGGAGGTAAGTTAAACTTAACTCGCCA